TTTGGAATACTGTAAAACTGAGATTTGAATTTGATAAATTTTTCAAATTTGAAATACGCCCAAATTGATTACTCTACAAAGATTTCAAATTTTGAGCTGAATAAGAGTAAACATTGAATTTCAATTTTTACTCCAATATGTATTTTGAAATACGGTCAAATTGAGATTCGAATTTTGTACAGTTGGAAAATTTCGAATATATCCAATTCTAAATTTCTACTAAGATTACAATTTTTGACTCGAATATGAGTAAAGTTTGAATATAAATTTTTACTCACATCTCAATTTGGGATACGATCAAATTGGGAATCAAATTTGGTAAAGTTGTAAAATTTTGAGTATGCCAAATTGAAAATTCTACTAAAATTTCAAATTTTTACCTGAATAAGAGTAAACTTTGAATTTAAATTTTACTCAAATCTCGATTGGGAATACGAGCAAATTGAGATTCGAATTTGATAAATTTGAAATATTCTAAAATGGAAAATTCTACAAAAAAAAAAAAAATCAAATTTTGACCTTAATAAGTGTAAACTTTGAATGAATTTTTAATCCAATCTAGATTTTGAATACAGCCAAATGGAGATTCGTATTTGGTATAGTTGTAAAATTTGGAATATGCCCAAATAAAAAATTCTACCAAGATTTCAAATTTTGACTAGAATAAGAGTAAACTTTGAATTTGAATTTTTATTTCAATCTCAATTTGGAATATGGCTAAATTCATATTCAAATTTGATAAAATTGTAAAATTTGGAATATGCCCAAATTGAAAATTCTACAAAGATTTCAAATTTTGACCTAAATAAGAGTTAACTTTTAATTTGAATTTTTAATCCATTATGGATCTGGAATGCGACAAAATTGAGATTCAAATTTGGTAATGTTGTAAAATTTCGAATATGCTCAAATCGAGAATTCTACCAAGATTTCAAATTTTGACTTCTATAGGAGTAAAGTTTGAATATGAATTTTTACTCCAATCTCGATTTTGAATACGGTCAAATTGGGATTAGAATTTTGTAAAATTGTAAGATTTGAATTATGCCCAAATCGAAAATTCTACCAAAATTTCAAGATTTGATCGGAATAAGAGTAAGCTTTGAATTTGAATTTTTACTACAATCTAGTAAACTTTGAATTTGAATTTAGAGATAATGTCTTCAAAGGGGAAACTTATTTACACAAATGTATAAATTTTTATAATTTTACACTTTTAGATTTCTGCATGTAGGATTTTATTTTAATTCTGATTTTACCCTTATTTATTGCAATAACATAGTTATTTGTTTTTTTAAATATAAATGATTTGATTCCATAAATTATTATCATAATTCTTTAATTATTGTGGGCTCATACTAATTTTCAACACAAATCTCTTAATTCACTCGTTCAAAACCTTAATTTACTCCTTCAAAAAGATTTATTTTCCGTTAATTCACTCCCACTTTGGTGCTCAATTTTCAAACACAATTCAAAATCACAGAAACATCTTTTGAAGTCTCAATAAACATATATCCGCATATTCAAATAATATATTCAAAATCATAGTATATATCCACTTATATATCCACATACATTCAAAATCACTATAGTATAGATACGCAGATCCGCATATATACAAGTTGAGTTATAAGATATATCCTAATCAAATTACTATACTATATATCCTCACATATACAATATTTCACACCAAATCAGAAATTGAAAACATCCGTTGGAATGCAAACCTTTCAATCTGGAGATGAACTGCTCTGACGACTGAGAAAAATGGAGGCGGTCGGAGATGAAGACAGGCAAATGTCGACCGGAGAAGAAGGCATGCAGAAACACCCCGAGATTAAGAACCGACGGAAATCTCTTTCGAAGGCGACCGGAGATGAAATGCTCTTGTGACAAAGAAAAACGAAGCCGGCCGGAGAGGAAGGCAGACAGTCGGAGAAGAGGAACGGACGGTCGGAGGAAGAAAAGAAAAACGAGAAACAAGAAATGGTGTGTTTCGAAAATGGATGGGTTTTTGGGGTTTTGGGATTTTTTTAATTTTGAAAAGTATCTGTCGCAACGTCATCGCGAC